TCATTTTAGGTGCTCGTTTAGTTGCCATCGATCAGGGAGAACATGTGATATTTGTCCCTTTTGGACTGGCTTATTTCACTCAGCATGATGTTTTCCAGCTTCTTCCATTTTGTTGTAAATGCCCGGATTTCATTGTTTTTTACTGCTGTATAGTGTTCCATAGAGTACATATCCCATAGTACACTGCTGTATAGTGTTCCATAGAGTACATATCCCATATCCAGTCATCCGTTGATGGACATTTAGGTTGATTCCATGTCTTAGCTTTTGTGAATTGAGCTGCAACAAATATTGAGGTGCAAATGGCTTTTTTCACCCCTTTAATTCCATTTGGGTTTATTCCAAGGAGTGGGATGGCTGGGTCCTGTGGTAGTGCTATATTCGGGTTTCTGAGGATTCTCCAGACTGTCTTCCATAGTGGTTTTACCAGTTTGCATTCCCACCAGCAGTGGATTAGTGTCCCTTTTTCTCCACATGCTCGCCAGCATCTGTTGTTGGTTGATTTCTGTATGTAAACCAATCTAACTGGAGTGAGGTGGAATCTCATTGTGGTTTTGATCTGCATTTCCCTGATGGCTAGGGATCTGAGCATTTTTTCATGTGTCTGTTGGCCATTTGGATTTCCTCTTTTGAAAAATGTCTGTTAAGGTCCTTGGCCCATTTTTTTATTGGGTTGTTTGTTTTGATTCTGTGGTGTTTTTTTTGATCATTGTGTAGATTCTAGTTGTTAATCCTTTATCTGTTGTGTGGTCTGGGAATAACGTCTCCCATTCTGTTGGTTGCCTCTTCGCTTTCCTGACTGTTTCCTTTGCTGTTAAGAAACTCTTCAATTTGAGGTAATCCCATTTGTTTATTTTATCTTTGATTACCCGTGCCTGTGGGTCTTCTCCAGGAATTCTTCGCCTATTCCGTTATCTTGAAGGGTTTCCCCTATGCTCTCAATTAGTTTCATGGTGTTGTGGCGCATCTCTAGTTCTTTGATCCATGTTGAGTGGATTTTTGTATAAGGTGTAAGGTAGGGGTCTTGCTTCATACTGCGACATGTGGACATCCAGTTTTCCCAGCACCATTTGTTGAAGAGGCCGTCCTTGTTCCAGGGGTTGGTTTTAGGTCCTTTGTTGAATATGAGTTGGTTATAGATGTTTGGATTGATCTCCAGTGTTTCTATTCTGTTCCACTGGTCTATCCATCTGTTTTTGTACCAGTACCAGGCTGTTTTGATTATAACTGCCCTGTAGTATGCCTTGAAGTCTGGAATTGTGATGCCTCCGGCCTTGTTTTTATTGTAAAGGATTGCTTTAGCTATTCTGGGTCTCCTGTTTCTCCATATGAATTTCAGCATCGTTTTTTCTAGGTCTTTGAAGAATGACTTTGGTATTTTGATTGGTATTGCATTGAACTTGTAAATTGCTTTTGGGAGAATGGACATTTTGATGATATTGATTCTTCCAATCCATGAGCATGGCAGGTTTTTCCATTTTTTTGTGTCGTCTTCTATTTCTTTCTTTAGTGTTTTGTAATGTTCATCATAGAGGTCTTTGACCTCCTTGGTTAAATTTATTCCAAGGTACTTTATTGTTTATGTGGCTATTATGAATGGGATTGATCTTAGTAGTTCTTCCCTGGCCCTGGCATTGTCTGTGTATACAAAGGCTGTTGATTTCTGAGCGTTGACTTTGTATCCTGCTACTTTACCAAACTCTTCTATGAGTTCCAGTAGTCTCTTATAGGAGTTTATCGGGTCCCCTATATATAGTATCATGTCATCTGCAAATAGGAATAGTTTAACTTCCTCCTTTCCCATTTGTATCCCTTTAATTTCTTTTTCTTGCCTGATGGCTCTGGCTAACACTTCTAGGACTATATTGAATAGCAATGGTGAGAGTGGGCATCCCTGTCTGGTGCCAGTTTTCAGTGGAAATGCCTCCAACTTTTCCCCATTCAATATGATGCTGGTTGAGCCACTTCTGCTGCTTTCCCAGGAGCATTAGCAGAGAGCTGGATCAGAAGAGGAGCAGGGGCCAGTGCTGTGGGTTAGCAGGTAAAGCCATCGCCTGCAGTGCCAGCATCCCATGTGGGTGCTAGTTCGAGTCCCACCTGCTCCACTTCCAATCCAGCTCTCTGCTATGGCCTGGGAAAGCACTAGAAGGGCCTAAGTCCTTGGGCCCCTGCACCTGTGTGGGAGACCCGGAAGAAGTTCCTGGCTCCTGGCTTCCGATCGGCGCAGCTCCAGCCATTGCGGCCATCTGGGGAGTGAACCAGTGGATGGAAGACCTCTTTCTCTCTGTCTCTCCTTCTCTCTCTATGTAACCCTTTCAAATAAATAAATAAGTCTTTAAAAAAAAGACACCTCTCCCTCTCTCTCTCTCTTTCTCTGTCTCTCTCTGCCTCTGCTTCTCTGTAAATCTACCTTTCAAACAAACAAATAAATCTAAAAAAGAAAGAAAAAAAAGCAAGCGAGCAGCCTGGGTCTTGAACTGCCAGCATATAGAATGCAGGTGCTGAAGGTGTCGGTTTAATCCCCTAAACCACAGTGCTGCCCCCCCCCACACACACTTTAAAAAAAATTCCTTGTGTTAAATCATTCTCTACTTGGAATATCTAAAGTGGTTTCTGTATATTTTATTTTATTTTGTTTGTATTTATTTGAATGGCAGAGTTAGAGAGAGAGAGGCTAGAATCAGAGATCTTCCATCTACTGGTTCACTCTCCAAGTGGCTGCAATGACAGGAAGCTGGGCCAGGCCAAAGCCAGGAGCCCAGAGCTTCATTCAGATCTCCCATGTGAGTGCAGGGGACCAAGAACTTAGGCCATCTTATGGTACTTTCCCAGGTGCATTAACAGGGAGCCAGATTGGAAGTGAAGCACCTGGTTTTGAACCAGGGCCCATATGGGATGCTGGTATCGCAGGCAGAGATTTACCTTGTTGTGCCACAAGCTGGTCCTGCTTGTCTCCTCTCTACCTTGTGAGGGCAGAGCAACCACATAAGCATATGGCAAGAAGGTGCCTTTGAAGCACAAGTCCTCATCAAATAATGAATCCACTGGAGCCTGGATCTTGGATTTTTTAGCCTCCAGAACTATGAGGAATAAGTTTTTATTGTTTATAAATTGTTCAGTCTAAAGGATTTGGTTATAGCAGCCCAAGTGGACTGAGACAAACCTTTTCTGGGAGTTAACTCTAGGAAGGCTGAGGCTTCCTGTCAGGGAACAGGTGGGAGGAGACATGGAAGAGGAGACAGTACTGCCCCATCAACAGAGAGGAGGGAGTTAACCTTGAGTACCAGAATTTTCAGTCAGTATTTAGATTGCCATAAGCACCCTTGCAGGATGCAATGGTGGCCCCAGGTGTACCTCATAGACTTAATAAGGCCCAAACCTAAGACTCTGGCTTTATCTCCACCCTCAGACTGGCTGGCAACCTCATGGGGAAACCAAGCAGACACCACCAGGGATGAAAGAGAAAGCTCGAGACACTCTTTAGGAGTGGATCTCACATCCCTGATGCCTGGCCCCTAACCTCTATCCCCAGCCCCAAGCAACTTCCTAAGTGGATTCCAATCAGAGAAGCTCAGACTCATTCACCCTCTCCCTACTCCCAGCTCTTAAGGATGGAACCAGTTCATGGCCTGGCTTCTCACAGCAAAGGAGTCTGTTGATCTACTACCACTGAAACCTCACAATCCAAGGAACAGTTAGGTCAGGAGGGGCTGATAAGGCCTAAACCAGATGAGGCCAGGGTCCACAGTCTTAGTTGACTGACAGGGTCCCTTCCTGAGGGACTCCAGGGAATGGATTTGAGTCCATATTCATTGTCATTGGAAGGTGGTTAGAAATACACCTACTTCACAGAAGGCAGTTGAAGCTAGGACTTGAAAGCTCAGAGTAAGGGCCCCCTTGGGCTATTTTTTAAGCCTAAAACAAACCAACTTCCAGCCTCAACCAAGTTGGAAAGATAGAAGAGGTGTAGGGTCTCAGTTAAAGTCTACTCATTAGTCAAATGGTTGTTAGCAGTTTGGGACGTAAAGCCTTGGTCAGTTTATGACCAGAAAAGAACCAAGCATTGCAATCTTTATACAAGCAACACCTGTGGTACAGACATCCAGGAGATTGAAAGGGTAGGTCAGATCCTGTCTGCTAACCAAGCTCCTATGGCTCCAACAGGAAGCCCATCCCCCAGCAGCCCCCATTCCTTAGGCTGTGTTCTATCAATGTGTTTCATGGTATCAGGTCTCTCATTCATCCTTCTTTCTTCTCTCCAACTTACCTTTGACAATGAGTTGGTGTCTTTGTTTCACCAACCTCAACTTCACTCCCATGGCAACCGAAGCCTGTCTTCTGTATGGTGTAAAGCTCCTGCACAGCAACTCTGAGCCAATCCACTTTGCACAAGCAGAGCTATCCCCTGGCCCTAAGGTTCCTGATGCCTTGGGGCCAAGCCCTGGTCAATTATTAGCAGATTGGGTCAGAGTCCTAGCTCTGCCCTATGCTGTGTAAACTCAGCAATTTGTCCTCCTATTCTGGTCCTCTTTTGCTCACTATGTGTACATAGTCTAGAAAAAGCCAGTCTATAATCTGGATTCGGGATCATCTGTGCATGGGGCAAGTATAAGCAGTTAGGTCACCAGTTAGGACACCTCCATCCCAAATTGCAATACATGGGTTTAATTCCTGGATCCTCCTCCTGCTTCCAGTTTCCTGCTAATGCAGCCCCTGGGAAGCAGTGATGATGTCTCAAGTGATTAGATTCCTGCCACCTATGTGGGAGATCTGAGTTAGAATTGAGTTCTTAGCTCCCAGCTTTGGGAGCTATAACCCTTATGGGCATTTGGGATGTGAACCAGCGAATGGGAGCCCTCTCAGAAATGAGATTTGTCCCTTATTCCTCCTCTTCCTTGCTTCCTGAAGTCCTGTTTAAGCTTGAGAGCCTCAAAAGAAAAATCATTAACTTTTCAACTCAAAGGAAAAAGTAAGATTGTTCAACAACCAAGGCACTTGGATTTAAGTGAAGAAGAAATCTGGCTTTATTGTGAGGAAATCAGGGAGGAGGAGCTGGGCCAGATTCATGTCGGAAGGCACCTCAGTGAGTACAGCCCAGGAGTCTGGACACTCTCTGGGGCTGGGGGAGGTTCTTGGCTGCATTGAGTTTGTCCACATCGCTGTAGCAATACAAATTGGGGCCATGGATGAGGTACAAGTTGGGACCACTGGTAGAACATGAGTTGGGGCCAAGGGGCTTTTCCATACACAGGGCCCCGTCAACCTTCTCATGAGCCCAAGGAAGTTCTGTCCACGTGGCTTGAGCTCCAGACTTCAGGTCCAGCCACCACAGACGCCGTCCTAGGAAGAAGGCACCAAACATAACATGACTTCCATGTCACAGGAATCCTGATCCATCCCATTGTGTGCCCTGGTGGAGATCTACACCATGGACAGGAAGCAGAACAAGTCACCCCTTACCACCCAGAAGCCTCTCACCTGCCATGATGTGGAGCCGAGAAGACCCAGGACAGACAAAGGCCGCATCCACAGCCTCAAGGCTTATCCCAGGAGGGCTTCCAAGTTCCTTCTCCAGCCGCTTTGGGTAACCATTTACCAGGGTATAGCCTCCTTTTGTCAGAAAGACATATACCTTGGTGTCCTGGAGGACAAAGGACCCCAATCAATATGAAGCTGGACATTTTTATTCCACTCTCTCAACTCCAAGCCTCTTTCCCAAAACACACCTGGATCAGATAGAGTTTATCCTCCCAGGAAAAGGCAGCATCCACTGTTGAAGGACCTTGTGGCCACTGATGAGCAATGGGCCAGCTATGCCACCCATCCCGGTTGGTGTCCAGGCGCCAGTAGTGGGACCCTGTGAGGTATTATAGGTAGCTCTAGTGCTGGTGGTAAAAGCCCAGGCAAACAAGAGGCTAGGGGAAATGCAGGGATGAGTCAGAGAGGGAGAGGATGCATCCAGAGGCTAAGAAGGAAGAGGTGTGCAACACTTGGTCAGCAGTGTGGGGCACTGGGGGCCGGCTAGAACTAGAATCAGCAGAGATCTGATGGGAAGGCCAGCAAGCAGAACAGTGGTCAGGTTTCCAGGTAAGGCCCACACTTTGGAGTTTGGCAGGGGCTCCCTTTGTATCTCAGGTGTTCATGTACCAAGATAGGATTACAAGTAATGAGGTACGGTGGCCAGAAGTTAAAATGGAAGCACCACCAAAAATTTCCACTGAGTGTTCTCACTCTGGCTGTGCTCTCCAGTCCCAATGAGGTGGCAGGAGGATGGGGGAGTAGTCAGCCCAGCACCTCAGTTTTGTTCTCCCACTTTCTTTTATTTCTAAATTTTATTTATGTATTTTCACTTTTATTTGAAAGGCAAAGAGACGGTGAGGGAGCTTCCATCTGTTGGTTTAATCCCCCAAATTACCTGCAACAGTCAGGGCTGGGGCAGGCCACAACCAAGAGGCAGGAACTCAAGCTGAGTCTCCCATGCGGGAGAAAGAGACAAAAGTACTTGGGCCATGGTCTGCTGCCTTAAAAGGCACGCGTTAGCAGGAAGCCAGATGGGAAGTGGAGCTGGGATCCAACCAGGCATTCTGATAGGGGATGCAGGTGTCCTAAGCAGAATTTCAACTGCAGAGCCAAATGACCTTTCCTCTTTTCCCTTTCTCATCTTCCTTCCACTTCATGATTTTTCAGCCTCAGCTCCAACTGGTGACTCCCTCAGTTGTTCTCTTTCCCTGGTCAGATTTTCAGAGATGAAATCTGATGGCCTAACCCATATTTTCACATAGTACCACATTAAATTGGTTGCAGGGTAACCAGTGTATTAGCTGTTGATAGATTACAAGCTCGTCATTTATTTCCTCTGCACAGAGAGCAGCATGGTCTGGTTCTCAAAGCTGAGACCCTACACAGGTAGCTTGAAGAAGAGGAGAAGGTGGATATGTCAATCACCACTGCATACTCAGTTCACAGCTACAAACAGAGCTATGGACATAGCAAGAATATCAAATATTTTTGAGCACCTTAGAGGCACTGACTGTCATTCTAGAGCCTGGAATTTAATAGTCAACAAGGCAGACAAGTCACCTACTCTCACAGATCTTGCCAGACTGAGAGAGAACAATCAGAAAGAGAAAGAAAGAAAGAGAATGCTTTCAGGTAGAATTAAAAGCTATAAAGAAAATAAGACAGGATAATGGAGCAAAGGTGAGGAGAATGAGGGGCTCTTCTAAAGAGATCATTTTTGAGCTAAAAAAAGAAGGTGATGTGACTGGAATACAGAGGAGCAGGTGAGTGGCTTGAAAGAGAGGGAGGCAGAGGCCAGGTTATACAGGCCTGGGAAGGATTTTTAACCATGAAAAGGAAGCAAAGAGAAGGTTTTCAGCAAGGCTGTGATATGTTCTAGCTTATTTTTAAAAAGATCATTGTGGCTTCTGTTGAGCACCACATGAAGCTTTAATTGTGCAATCAGGGAATCCTGCCAGGATATCCTGCAGTTGTCCAGCTTAGAAGTGATGACAGCATGGACCAGCATGATAAACAGAGAGGTGTGGAGGGGTCACCACCCTATATTTTGGAAGCACAACTGACAGCTTAAACTGATAGACCTGATATTGGTCAGGGTAGTGAAAGAAAAAGAAAGGTTTTATGAATGAGCTAGCTTTTTAGGACTGAGAAACTGAGTGGCTGATAGTTTCTTTTTCCAAAAATGGGAACGATTAGGGAGAAAATGTTGTGTGTGTGTGTATATCCAATGGGGACAGAAATCAGTTTGGACAGGCTAGGTTTTTGGTGCATAACAGCACCAAAGGAACATGTCAGGTAGTCAGTTGAGTTGGAGCCTGAAGCTCAAAGGAGTGGAAAGTCAAAGCCGAAGAGGGGAGGTTGGAAGTCACCAGCATGTCAATGGTATTTAAAGTCCCAGGACCAGGCAATATCAGCAAGGGAGTGAGGGTTCATGGGGGAGAAAAGAGGCCCAAAAGGATGAGTAACACCAGACGTCAAGATACAAAAAAGGTCTTCAGAGAGGAAGGGCGTGGTGAGCTGGTGAATGCCACTCTGAGGCAGTCAGCTGAAGACACAGAACTGACCATTAGATGTGGAAAGTTGGAGGACACTGGTGGCCTTGCTCAGAACCATTTCAATGGAGGAGGGATACAGATGTGTAATTGAAGAGAACCGAGGGGAAAGGTAGACACAGGAGCCTCAACCATACCTTTAAGAAAATCATGTAGTGTCGAGAAGATGGAGAGAACATGATGGTCCTTGCACAAAAAGGAGAAAGATTTATCAGAGATGACCAGCACCATTTTTTTTTTTTTTTTTTTTTGACAGGCAGAGTGGACAGTGAGAGAGAGCTGGCCTGGAAGAGGGGCAACCGGGACAGAATCCGGAGCCCCGACCAGGACTAGAACCTGGTGTGCTGGCGCCGCAAGGCCGAGGATTAGCCTAGTGAGCCGCGGTGCTGGCCCTTTTTTTTTTAAGCACCGTGCTTAATAGGTGGGTCACCTTGGTGTTTTCACTAGACAATGTGTTCTCAACTCAATTCAGTTCAGTAATTTTACCATAGTAGTGTTCTTTCCATCACTGTGTACTCTCATAACAGCTATAGAAGATTGCATTTAGGAGTTCAGCTGCATTCTCTTTATGGCCACATGGACTTGAAGTTTTGTGATCTGTGATCTGTGATCTCTCTGGTTATATTCTCTATATATACATTTCTGTGTGGTTACTGTGGCTTCTTTTCTCAGCTTCTCTCTCTCTCTCCCTCCGTGTGTGTGTGTGTGTGTGTCCAAGTATCCTCCAAATGCTCTCATGCTCTAATCAGCATTGTGTGCTCTGATAATTGTATGTTCTCACTACGGCATACGTTCTCGGTATATTTCTGTATTGTGTGTGTGTATATATATATATGTATATATATATACATACTATTAGATGTGTGTTTCATCAAGACTCTATGTTGTCACAACAGCGTGCATTCCTGCTAAGCAGATATGCTCTTCATGTGACTGCATTTTTCAATAAAACTTGGTAGTTGTAACTGATTTTATTAGTTCAGGTGTTAGGAGCAAAGGAGTATTTTCACTATTCGATAGTCTTACTACTACCCTCCTTTTGTATTTGATCACTGGGTATAATGTCATTGCTCACTCCCCCTCTTGGAGGTGTTCTCAAATGTGGGACACAGCTCACCACTAGCTGCTTCATTACCCAAGAACATTGCTAGTATCACTGGATGGCTGGTATCTATTGATGCCACAGATCAAGGGATGGGTGTTTACACTGACCAGCCAGAGAAAGCTCTTAAATCCACCCTCTAAAGGTCTAGAGAGCCAACACTTCTTGACTGTTTCTCGGTGATGGGAATATCTCATCCTCAGGCAATTAGGAGCCCAGAGGCCTGTACATGGAACTAGAAACCTGGGAAAAGATGGAGCTCCTACGCCTAAATTCAGTGAAAGCCAGAGGACTCAGAAAATGCAAAAGAAAGGGGTCCATGGAGGCACATGTCCATGGGCAAGGAGGACAAGGAGAGTCATAGGAGCCCAGAGAGGTCTACAGAGCGTACAGACACAGGAGGAGATGGTGCTGGATGATAGACAGATAGGCATTAACAGACAAGATTGAAAAATCTGCATCAGAGGAGATGAAGGATACAAAAGGGCATGTTACAGTGGGGGACACAGGGGACAAAATAAGGGATGCAGTGAGGAAAATGGAAGAAATGTGTCAGATTTAGGAGGCACGAGTGAAATTGATGGGGGCAGAGAGGAGGTATGGAGGTATCTCTCACCACTGAAGACATAAGTGGCACCATGGTTGTCAGACACCATTGCAGACAAGACTAGATCTGGGTTGCAGCGTGTGCTCTCATGCCCATGTTGGGTACTGTTCCTATGGCTTGATCTGTGTCCTGGGGAGAAAAATAGGTAAGGGGAACACAGGGAGGCCAGAGGTCAGAGCAAGATTGAGGTGGAAGAGATAGCTGGGGCTGGTGAGTGTGAGGGTTTCCCCATAAGAGGACAATTTGGAAGAGCCCAAATGGAAATGGGGCTAAGGTGGGGCTGAGGTATTACAACACAGAGACAAGGTGAGAGTTGGGGCACATAGGGTCTGGTCTACAGGCTCAGAGAAGGTAGATGTATTCTAGCAAGTCCCAGGGGTTGGGCTTTCTCACCTCTGCCAGGGCAGGATAGGAAGTAGTCTCGGACATCCAGAGGGTACCCAGGAGGCACCTCTCCCGAGACCGGATTGAAGCGGAGGAACTGGTTACCCTGGAAGCAATAGTAGCGGCCGAGCCATCGCAGGGCAGAGGTGCAGTTCCCAACTGCCGGCCAAGAACGCTCCTTCTTTGTTCCAGTAGTCAAGTCCCAGAACCACTTGCGGTTACCTTTGCTCAATCAATCAACAAACATTCAGTGAGGCTGGGTTATGCCCTTCTTTGTGCTTTCTCTGGGCCACATATGGTACTGGTCACATGCAGCTCACAGCACAGAATTGAAATCCCAAGTAGGAGCTACAGGACAGACAAGAGGGAGGGATGGAACTCCGGAGAGAGGAAAGAGCTGGAAACATGAAGAAAATTGAGGGAACAGGAAGTAGCAAAGTTCCTGAAACTTACTATTCAATGTAAAGGTGTAAGATTCAAACTGGAGGATCAACAGGAGTTGGGTCAAGGAGAGCCTTGCACGTGAGACTGAGGAGTGTCTATTTGTCCAGAGGGTCATGGGGAACATGGGGACCTTTAGCAGAATTATACCCAGGTACCTTCACCAGAATGACTTCCTCTCCCTTCCCTTACTTGATCTCTAGACCATAATTGGATTCTCCATTTTCCTTCCTTAAATAGCCATACAGTGGCTCCACTACCACCCTCACTACACTACCACTACTGTGGGCACAATTACCCAATCACCACCAACCCTCCACTACTGCAGGTACTCGGATTCTAGCCTGGACTGACCTTGGAAGAAGAGGATGCCTTCATCTTGGCATTCTCCACGGTGACACTCCACAGCTGCATCCAATGGGAATGGGATTCCAGGAAACTCATCTTGGAGGGACTTTGGATAGACTTTCTCATTCTTTTCAGAAGTGTATACCCAGACTTTGTCCCCCTGCATCCAAAAGAAGTCTCTTTTTGATTGTGTACTGCTACTCTGCATTCATGTAGACATTTTTGATCAGTTAGACTGACAGAATATCCTCCTGTAGCTCACCACATTCTCAATCCATCAGCAAATATCAGTGTGTGCTGTCCTTTTGCACAATACATACCCTCAGTTTGTGAAAATCCAGTCCTTATTACCATCTTTCATGACACACTCATGTGCAACACCATTAACCTGGCAAATACCCCCACAAACAGTCATCCTATAATCATCCATCCATTCATCCATTCAGATGTTCATTTATTTCTGCATTCATTCAAGAAAGAGTTGCTGAGTGACTACTGTTTGTCAGGTATGGTGAGAGGCACTGGGGAAAAGGGGATGACAAAATTTTGCCTTTGACTTCGAGGAGCTCACTGCTCAAAAGCATAAAGGGTTCCTACAGTCCCGGCCATGCAGCCATCAGAGTGGAAAGCATGACGAGTGCATTGGCGATACAGGCAGAGTGCTAGGTCTGCCTAGAAAAGCTCCAGAAGACTTCACAGTCAAAAGGAAATATTTGGCATAACAGCTAAAAGATGAGCAGGAATTTTCCAGGTGGACAAGTGAGGAAAGGGTGTTACCAGCAGAGGGAGCAGCATGTAAGAGCCCAAGCGCAAGGAAGGACAGTATGCTCAGATCACTTATGTAATCTCATGTGGCTGGCATAGAAAGAATGTGGCAGAGGAGGAGACAAACCTGAAAAGATATGTAAGAACTAGATCATGAGTTCCCATACACATCTAGCTTGTAGAACTAGGCATCTGGTGGTGCTATTTACTTAAATAGGGAACACAGGTAGGGGGGTTAGTTTCTAAGGAAGATGCTAAGTTCAGTTTGTGGGATTCTGAATTTGAGATGTTGTGGAACATCTAAGGGATTTTTGCCAGGAAATTGGAAAGAAATAAAAGAAATTGGAACTCAGGAGAAAGATCTAGATCTGGTTTCCTCAATACAACGTCCTCAGAGTCTGGCTGAGATCACTCAGGAAAGGGCCAGGGTGGAACCACAAGGGACATTGGCTGAGGACAGGCCACCTGAGAGGAGAGAGAAAAGGGACAGGAGGGAAAACAATGCTGGTAGTCAGGGTTGCCTCTACCACACAGCACCCTCGGCAAGTTAGGAGAAAGCCCCCTTCCTCTGCCCATACACAGCGTGGGCCCTGGCATGAAACCTGATGAGCACAGTAGGCTAGATTTCATCCCTCACTCACACACTTCATCCAGGTGCCCTTCTGTTGGGAGCAGCCTGTCCAGCCATATGAAAAGGACCTGATGCTGAGTCACAGAATCCAAGGAAAGATGTCACCAGGAAGGAAAGGATGAGATGTAGCAGACTGGCCTACAACTAGGACTAGAGCTGAAGGATAGCTAGTGGACGTTGTGTCTGCCAGGCCCCCATGCACTCACACTCCCTTAGCCTGAGCTTTTTCAGGAAAGGAAGGCAGAGGGGAAGTAAACCCAACAGCCATTGGTGTGGGCTCCATGCCAGAGCCTCTCAGGAGAGGGCCTCTAGTGTTGATTCCAGCACTTCCCAGCCTGGTTCTGTTCTTGGCCCAGCAGTACCTTAATCAGGTAAACACTGGTATGACCATGGCGGAAAGCAGCATCCACAGGACCGATGAAATTCTTCCACCTCTCTGAGATCAACTCCCGAATCCCTCTGTGACTCTTCCACACGAACTCATCTGAAAAAGCCATACTTGCTGAAGGACCCAGAAAAATCCTTTGGCCAACTGATATAGTCACAGAGAGGCTGTCAGAGACACCCTTAGATCATTCCTGAGATTTCCCATCAATGGAGACACCTCTTATGAAGGGAACCAAGTTTGAGGTCCCAAATGAGCCAACCCCAGCCTCCACCTACCTTTAAAAAACAGCATGGTCCCATTGTCATCCAGGGTGGTGGCATCAAAGCTCCAGCCATCTGAGCACTGTTCTGAGGCACAGGCGGAGAGAAAAATCAGTTAAGATGGCAGAATGCAGAGGCACAAACAGACAAATAGACTTTTGGGGTTGGCGCCTCACCGATCACATCTGCTTCTGGCTTGGTCCCACTCTCACCTTCAGTAACATTCCCATGGGCACTGGTCCTAGAGAGAACACAGGCAGATGTCTAGGCCCATTGGGACCAATCCAGCACCTGTAACCCTTGACCCCAAACTTGACCAAGACCCCCACACTAGCCCTATCTTACTGTAGCCCAGACTCCAATCCTCTGTCCCTTGCCCCAGCTCTACTTACAGAGGAACAGAGTTGACAGTGGCCAGAGACCAGCACAGGCCCCAAACCCCCAATGCAATGGGTATTCCTGATGCCTTAACCATGCTGAGCTGGAGATGCCACAGGAGAGCTTCCCTGGGCACATGTTTGAACTCCTTATATAGAGTTGGCAGCAGCTCCACCCCCTACTTCCAACCCCAATGGGAGTGAGCTGTCTCCCAGGACTATGCCAATATTGGCTGATGTCATCACTGCAAATAAGGTCAGGGTCTGGACAGTAATCTGAGTCCAATATTCCCTCTTCCCGGCAGTAACCCATCCCCCTTCAGCAACTTTCCAGCAGTGACTAACCCATGCTCTTGACATCCAACTATGATTCTCATCACTTTGGCAATGGGTCTAGGTGCCTATACTCAGGGGTGAGGGTAGACTGAGGATCACCATTCTGTGGCCAAATTTATCTCTACAATGGTAAAGGGGAGAAGAGGAGAAAAGCAACGTTTTTGTGTACTAAGTGTCAAGCCTGCTGCCAGGCAGGGAAAGACACTGAAACATACACTCCATGGTAACCTTATACACAGATAAACTTAGAAATAACTCAGACAACAGCTTTTTCCAGGCTCCATTGCGGCATTTCTGCAGCATTCTCAAGCCTTTTCAGCTTTACTGCTGGACAAGTGATTTGGGGAACAATAATGTCTCACTATGATCAAACATCCAGCCCCAACCCCCTCAATCCTTGTTGGCAATGAGCTTTGCAAAACTGCCTAGGAGGGAAGGGCTGATGGTAATGGGCAGGAAGAGGAGGTGTCTCTCCTCCAGAGAGCACTGCCACCACCTGTAATTAGTCTTTCTCGGTGGTTTCCACCTTAAGGGGGAAATGTTTTATTTACTCATCACAGAACAAATAGAACTCTAACTGGGGTTTCACAATATTTACAGCTGACTCCTGCTTACACGCTTCTCAGGGAAGCTTTTCCTGACCACTGTACCCAGTCATTTCAGACTCTTGCGAGATCCTTCCCATCTATTACTAAAACTTGAAATTATTTCGTCTGTGTACAGATTGTGTGTGTGTGCTTTGTTTTCACCTATCTTGTTTATCACCATATCCCTGCCACGTAAAACAGAACCTGGGGAATAATCATTACTCAATATTTGCTGAATGAAAAAATGCATTTTAAGGACTTACTGGTATTGCTAGTGTTGCAGCCAAATTTCTAACAACAAGGGGAATGTTGGGAATTAGAGGTATGCCATGATAGGGAGCATAGCGAAACCAAAGGCTCACGTGTTTCCTTGTCACCGTCTCTCTGATAGCTCTGTTTCTCCAGTGTCCCGCATCTATCCTTTCCTCCTGGAATCTCATCTGCTATCTGCCATACTGTTTATCCTCGGTACTTGTCGCTCCCTGTCTTCGTGGAGGAACGACACAAAACCCTGCCTAGGCTTCATATCCGAGTCACGGCACCATTATGTCGCTCCCCCTCTTCGTGGAGGAACGACACAGGACCCTGCGCTGTTCTTTCGTCTGCTCGGCCCTCCCCGGGTTTGCTGCTGGTTCTTCCCGGGTTGGCTACTATCCCTTCCACCTCCGTGGAAGGGCAGTTCCCCCTGGCCACATTCCCCACTTCCGCAGGGGAGCGGCACACCGCCGGCCGGCTCTTCTCGGGGGCTGCACAGGTGTTCCTTCAGCTAGATGTTCCCCTTAGATGTTCCCCGGTGCATGCCGTCTCTCTCCTCCTTTATAGTCCTCCTCCGCCAATCCCAACTCGGCTGCCCACACGCCGAGTACGCTGCTCTCCAATCAGGAGCAAGTCCTACAGTTTATTAGTTGAACTGGAGGCAGCTGTGCGGAAGCTGTTTACTTCTCTCCCAGCACCATATTGTGGGAGAGCAGATGCATAGAATAAGTCTTAATTCCAGTAACTCAGTCCAGTCCGGATTGCTCCCCACAGGTACTCTCTGGGACCACTCCCCAGATCTGCCCCATTTCCACCTGAGATTTGGATGCTGGTGAGAAAAGTATTATGTGTAGAATCTCCAGGGGCCAGACTAAGGTTTCAGGATCCCTTTCCCTTGCCAACCCTCAAAGGGCCCTGATCCCTCTGAAGTGGCTCCACACTCCTGACAGCCCCTTATGTAACCTTAGCAAAAGTCTCAGGAACTTTTCTACCCTGCAAAGGTTCCTCTCAAAAGGAAGACATAGACTTCTGGGCCCTGTAGAACAACATGTTACCAGGCCTCTGCCATCCATCAGCCCCAAAGTTCTTTCCTGACTTGCAAATGAAACGGTGCTGTGGACATCATTCCTTCCTCATGGGTCAGTGGGCAGAGCTGGACCCTCCTAGTCCGTGGCAACATGAGCTCCTCTGGCCGATGGCTGATCCTCACCGGGCATCTCCAGCTGGACTGCTCCACCCCTGCTACTGGGCCCTGGGCACATGGGGCTGCTGCTCCTCCCTCACCTTTTCCTTCCCTCTCAGCTTTTGAAATCCTAGGTCCTCTTCCCGGAATTTTCAGTTTTTCAGCTTGGCCTCTCTCCTACAAAGCTGTGACCCCCATCACCCCTGGATCCGTTGGTCTTGGAAAGGTGCCTCATGACCATTTCTCCACTGCTGTTTCTTGATTAATTTGTCTACCGCAGCATGGCTTAGATACTATTATCTGAGCCTTCCCCTACGTAGTCCTCTCCCTCTCCCCCTCTTCCCTGCCCCCAGGGTCTAGACCAGCAGTGTTCTGAAGCATAGGCAGCTGAGCTTGAAGCTCAAATTCAGGCAGGAGCAGAGAGGTAGAGAACTGTGTGCATCTGGTTCATGTTGGCCCACCTGGTGCTGGTCAGTGAATGAGGCAATCCTTCTCAGGGTACCCAAGACAGGGATGGCCTTGCTTCTCTTCTCACTTGGGGAGGTCACTGCTTTTCTTGAGTCCTTCACAGCCCTCTGGCTTGAGCTGAAGGGTGAAGCTTGTCCTTAGGCCTGAGCGCCCCCTGAAGGCTGAAGTAAATAGTGCACTCCCACCTTTCACCAGGCAGGATGCCAGAGACCAGTTTTTCTTCCCTACTACCAGCTCTCTGTAGCCTTCCTCTACCACACCTCTCAGCTATGTGCAGCCTTGGTGGCAAATCCCCTTCAGTGCTCCTTTCTCTTCCTCTGCAGACATCTGCTGCCCAGAGCAAGTTTGGGGACCTCGGTCTCGCTTGATTTCCTGATGAATTCAAGCACAAAAAATTCAACTACTTCCTTTTCCTTACAGTCTCACAATTGGCTTTCGACTTCCCCCAGAGCGGTCTGAATGTGGGCCTGCAAATGTCTTGATGGACAGAGTCCTCCTACATTGCCAGGAGAATATGTAAGCTGAGCACTGACCCATTCCCTTGGAATGGCCATGTCCAGCCTTCCCGTTATCCTGAGTTCTCTAACTTCAGTTATTTCTCCTGGGGTCCACTGAGCGCTGGGTGCACTGGGCCTGATGCCTGCAATGTTTACTCATAGGAGCAGAGGCAGGATTCCCCATTCCCCTGGACAAAGCTTCAGGCAGCCAACACAGCTCACCGATCCCAACGCTTCCCCATCCCCCAACAGAAACATTTTGCCTTTCTCTGTCTATACTGGACCTTCTGCATAGTCCATTCTTGTTTCTCTGTTAAAAAATAATTTGCTATCTCTTGGGCAGTTGTCCATGTCTGGCCCTGTGCCAAGCCCTTGACATGGATTATCTCATTCATATTATGTACACAAAAGTACACAGTACTTGCTGTGGCTTAAATATTTTTGTGCCTTCCAAATTCATTTGTTGGAAGCTTAATCCCAGTGTTCATAGGTGGGGCCCAATGAGAGGTGTTTAGGATTAATGTTGCCATAAAACGGGCATATGGGAGTAGGTTCTGTCTCCTCTGCTATTTTGCCATATAAAGAACAGCATTCTTCCCACCAAAAGATGCACCATTCAAGGCAGCATCTTGGAAGCAGTGACCAGGTCTTTAGCAGAAGACCTGCAATGCCTCCATCTCTGACTTCTCATCCTCCAGAACTGTGAGAAATAAATGTCTGTTCTTTATAAAGTACCCAGTTTCAGGCATTTTGTCATAGCAGCACAAATGGACTAAGATAGTACTATTAGTTGCATTTTATGAACGAGGAAATCACTATTAGGTATTTTGGCTGCTACGATGTCAAAGTCCCCAAATGCCAGTGTGTATAAGATTTTGTCCTCAGGAGGGAGCTACTGGGAGGTGGTGGAACTCACAGGAAGTGGGGCCTCGTGGGAGGTCCTTGGGTTCTAGGGGATGTGCCCTTGGAAGGCAGTTCTAGAGAAAAGCCCAAGCTGGGTCCAACCACTCGGCTTCCTGGCTCCCCATGTGGTCCTTCCTCTATACTCACTCCACCACTGCTATCTGCCAGCCCTACCAGATGCCAAGCCAATGGAGCACTTAAAACTGCAGGCCAAATAAACCTTTTCTCTTCATGAGCTAGCTCAGGGATTTTGTTGTAGTAACAAAATGCTGACACATTAGCCAAACCACATTGTAACAAGTGGTAGCACCATAATTTACACGCTGGCTGGCTGCTTGACTCCTCAGGATGTGCTCTTGTCAAGGACCATGCTGGTAAACATCCCACAGCTGCTCTGTAGGGGAAATGACCTCTGAGGCTCGCTGCCTTCCGTGATGCAAATACTCCTACTGTCGCCCACTTCAACCTACCAAGGCGTCACCAAGCATGGAGCTGGGGAAGAGACGTACTGTAACATACTACTCAATAATATACTACTCTGACAGCCCCATTGGACAGACACCATAGACATAAACAACCTCAGAGCATAGGTAATAGTAAAAAAATTAGGAAGGAATGAGACTTGATACTCTCGATTTTAACAAAATGCATTTAAGTTTATGAAGCTTAGTTTTTAATAACAGCTGGGTTTTAACACCAGCTTTCAAAATTCCTAAACTGTGCAGTCAGCTCTAATGAGCCAGGGTGAGTGAACCAGCTCAGCACCCACTGTGTATTATATTGCCTGAATATACAAGGCAAGGATTTTATCTGCTTTTTTCACTGCTCTGTCTTCAACAACTAGAATGATGCCTGAAATACTGAAATTTAA